GAGTACATCCGACAAAACTGTCAAGAAAAAACCTTTTCAGAAAAAATTACATGCTGGAATAACTCTTAACTTCCAGTCGAACCATAATTATGGGATGAAGATTGTAATACTTCGGAGTATGATAATAAGAAGCTTACGACTCACGGATTCCGAGTTCTGGGAAGAGGAACTGGAAAAACTAACTCAAGTGTCTCTTGGAGACAGATATCCAGAAGATAAAATACAATGCAACATATGGATGGTGATGAACGGATGAATGGACGGAGATTACGAAAGGAATTGATTCGGAAGTTACGGGCAATACTAGGGAAACGGAACATCCGTACAATCCTGAAGGAAAGGACAACCCTCGTCACAAGCTTGCCCACACAACATGAACAAGTCAACAAAATAAAGTGTTCCGGAGTTTACAGCATCAACTGCAAGGACTGTGAACAAAAATGCATCGGAGAGATAGGAAGGACAATCAGCACAAGGATGAAAGAGCACTAGAGACTATGCAGAAGAATGGATAGGGAATGATCGGAAATAACTGAACATAATTGACTGGAAGATCAGGGAGGCTGTGGAAATCCACCTTCAAAGAAACCTGATGAACAGGAGATTGGAAGAGGTAAGAGTTAGCGATAATTTTCGCGTACTGCCTGAGCAGACTTGGAGATTCAACGAATACTGTAAAGAGAAGACGCTTGGACCCAGGACAATCGTTCAACAACAAAGAAGAACAAAGAGAAGTCATGAAAAGGCGACTGCAGTGAGAAGAGTCAAACATGGAATTGGCCAAAAAATCTACCGAGGGTTCACCTGTGAGATGTAGGATATAAAATTATAGGCTAAAGTTATAGGTGGGCTAGACAAAGGTCACCAGTGTGTGTGCATTAGTGTCATGTGTAGAGGAGTTGACTGCTGATAGGCTTGACCACGGGATACCAACCAACACACACAGAGAGACATCATCCCAGTACCCTAGGCTTAGATGGGAATGTCTACTTGAGAGACGAGTGGAGTGTGTTTTTTGCGATTCAAATGAAAAGGAGAAGCGGTACATTTTCACATCAGCGGTTATGACATAAGCCGGATATATGGCCCCAAAGAATGGGACACAATGTGAGTTGGGATTATGGAGAGGATAATTGAGTCACGGGTTTGAGACCTAGCCGCATCTTCTACTCTAAATCCTCGAGTATGGCGTAATCGAGGACGAGAATGGTAGGCTCTTAGACAGCCAAACAGTGAATTTGATTTATAGAAGTGGGTTAATCTCGTTGTCGCAACTTGGTTTTGTTGTCACGGCGACTATGTAGAACGCACTTAGTCCCAAGTCGTCTGTCATAGTAGTTGTCATGACTCCCAGACTTGATATATTCTCAAACGTTTAGCCACCATCAATATCGATAATTGTGTGCCAATCAATGTCCCTCCTCTGATCTGCTTTTCACTTTATCACCTTTAATGCCTTAGGACCTTTTATTTTATTTATTTTTTCGATATTTTTTTGGTTTTCCTGCAACAAGCCCGGATTGATGGATGCACATATCAGGAGCAGTTTTTATCGATTTGCTCGTTTGGCATGCTATAGATTCGCTTTCACTATGGCTACTGCACTTGACCTCGTTTTTCTAGACCTTGAAGACATCAGTGGACAGAGTTAAGCTAGCCGTTGTCGGGGTGCTCATACTGGCACATGCATCAAGTGAATAGTTTATATTTTTATGTTAATGCCTAAACTCTTCGGAACTTATCCCGCCTGAATGCAAAATGATCTAGTTGCTACATGACGAGAACTAGCTAAACACTTTGGCTGTCAGATTGTGCCTATATCCGCTCTTCTCTTCAGATTATCTAAGCTGTTCACATCTTGCGGCCGATTATCCGATCTCTGTTTTTAGAAGCAGTTATCTTCTTTTAATTAAACCTCTTTCTCGTCTGCCCAACGCCTGAGCTAGTTCGAATTAAGCCTTCAACTAATTAATTAATTTTCAGTTTAAATAAATTTTACGATTATCATTTTCTCTTGAATAAAAGTGTAGTAAGCCCAGATCACTTAAGGCGAGTTAAAGATTGATGGGTGAGTTTTCTCACAATCAAGACTTCAGTTTTGACCTCTCTCTAAATATCAATTTCGCCCCATTCTACTTATGACTTTTGACAGGTAATTATCCATTTTTATTCTCATTGAGTTGGTTTTGCAACTACTAGTAGATTATGGTTAAGAGCTATATTATATAATATAATGAAAGACTGATAGTTGAATTTTCCATCAGCAATATGTGTAGGCCTCAAGTTTACACTGAATTGCACATAGTCTTTCCTCTTAATAAT